ATTTATCCCAGCCCTGTTGCTCACCTAAGTGGCTCTAATGAGGCATCACTGCTTTTAACTCCTACTAGTCCTGCAGCAGCAATACTGAAGAGACAAGGAAGATCTTAATCACCACATGTACTACCAACACTATTCTACTGCAACTGCCAATTACACTCAACAGGTGTGTAATGCCACAGATGCCAATGTCAAACACTAATGCCACAGATACAGCGTAGATTTTGACCCCCACAACCATCTTTACATTAAGTTTGTCCTCCACAGTCACAAGTTAAGAGTGCAAGACACCCTCCTGGATCTCAGCAGGGTCTTTCGAGGTTACAGTCTTACTCACACATAATTACTGGGAACTCACTGCAAAACAGCAGCCCACAAAATGCTGCTGCTGAGAGATCTGACCCTCAAGCCATACTCAAGTTACCTCTGCAACTGTCTCATGCGGTTGCTGGAAATAAAAGGAAACCAGCAGGACTAGCCACAGTTCCTGGAGCTGTGGCTTAAACCCAGAGTTCCTCCTGTTTCAGAAGATACTTCCAACACCTTCAAAACTTGCTTAATCTTATTGCGACATTTTAACACAGTGATAATAAGCATGTGCAAACTTCTGCCACAAGTTGTATGTTGGTTGTGAAGCAGGAGACTACTCACTTGGATGAAACTTTTGAGATTCCAGCACAAGCCCACTAGACATTAACTCAGTAGCAGCTCCATAAACAACTGTAGAAGTTTGCAAACAAGGAAAGTAAGACCTGTTCAACTCAACTTCAGGTGTGTTCTAACAACTGGGAGAGGAGGGCACAGCCCATATCTACATTTTGCAGTACCCAAAAAAACATCCAAAACCACTACTCAGCAGAAATGTAGAACAGGGATTTCAAGTGCAGCATATACTTCCCCCATTATTGGCCAATGTCCTGCATAGCACATCAAATCCCTGTCTGTGTGAGAGAAGTCTTGCAAAGGTTGGTTCTTGAGTATCAAAAGCAAAAACACTGTGTTGCATTATCCAACTAACCTTCAACCAGCCCAAGATGTGAATAGCAGTTAACATCTCCTAGAATTCTGCCTTCCACCTACACAAGAAATAACAGACATATGCTATAAAAATAATCATTAGTGCTAATACCATTACAACACTAATTAACCGATGATTTATTCAGATTCACTAGTAAGGCAAAAGGTTGGTCTGTAACTCATCTGTAAAAGTACTATTAAACCCTGCACTACACAAACATTGTTAGAATGGCTTTTTCATTGCCAGGATACCTTCAACGCAATGTAAAAGCAATACAGAAGTTGCATCTGTTAAATCTATTTCTCACCAAAAAAAACCCCAGATTATAGCAAGACAGTACAGTAACAGTATTACATGAGCTGTCTTCCTTCTATTCAGTTATATTATTCTTTAACAATAACCATACATGAAGGCAGAATATTCACAGAGCAATGAAAGCCTTTCATGTTGAAACTTCAAGTAGCTTATGCTAACAAGAAACCACAGCTTAAAGTTCATTAGAATACACAGAAATAGTTTTATCACCACTTCTCAGAGCTTCTAGATGCATCCACTTCTTATCCATCTTTACAGTTATTGACTTTGACTCACAAACTAATCATGACACTCCCTCATGCTACACTGTTCACCTTAGCTAAGTAACTGTGGCTCAGCTGCACTGGTAGCTCAGAGTCCAGTCTCTGTTACAGGTCAGGATCTTCCAATTACCACATCCAATGGAAAACATTTTCAGCAACTCTCACAAATTGCTGTATGCGGCTGAAATTATAGATCTGAAAAGGAACAAAGAATAGCTTAGAAAATCAGGAGCAACATTGCATATTTTTATGTAAGCCCAAGACATGTTGAGTACTTGTTAATATTTTCAAATAATTAGCTTTAAATTGTCTCTTCTTTACACATACCACCATCTTGTCAAGTCACTTAAGGCTGTAATCTAGTCATCATCAACACAGACCTCCTTGTTGGCTTTCCTATCTGTGCTGAATAATATTAACTCCCTAGTTTCATAACTTGTCTGAATCCATTATCACAAACAGGATAATCAACCAGCTTCCATGTTCTCAATCACTCCCCCTACCTCCTTTGAAAAATACTAACTTCCCCCACTCTCCTCCCACCACCTGTATGTAACATTCACACACACAAGCTTTTTTTCCTAGCCACTGTTCTGATCACGTTTTTCTTCCTCTTAATTCTTCCGCTGCCTCTGACAACAAATACAAGCTATTCTCTTTGTTTCAAATGTCCTTTGTCCCTCTATCTGTACCCTAATGGGACATTTTTTCAGTAGAGATACAGGGAACCACTTCAAGGAAGGTGAAATGTCTTTATGATTTTCCACACACAAAACACATTATTTCCCAGAAGAAAGTGGTAACTACGTGAACTTCCCCCATACCTCCAGCAAATCAATACAGTAAGATACACAAGTATGAACCTGGTATTGGATGTACTAAGCTGTGAACATTTTAAATCAACTCAAGCAATCCTCCTTGGTCCCTTATGTTAAATATGCAATACTAATTATGAGAAATTCTCACAAGGAACATTTCCTAAGAGACATAACCTCAAACTTACAACACTTGCAAAAAAAAAAAAAAAAAATCCAATCTGCAATAACTCAAGATGCCTTCTAGAGCTTTAAAAACAATGTTATTTTTAAACCATGGCAGGGAGCTTTTTTTTATATATGCACACATACCATTTCACCATCTTCCAAAAGGATTTTATTTTTTTTAATTAGAATATACTAATTTAAAACCAGAGAAAAGCCCTTAAAGAGTAAGATTAACAATTATGAAGATGTTTCTAGAAATCTGTTGCAAAAAATTATTTAAAAAAATCTCACTAGTACCCACTACTGCATTGGTGTCAAGCTGTTACAAAGCTTGATGTGACAGAACCACAACATTCCCTTAGGTTTTTAAAAATAAAAAGCTCAAACCAACCTTTGTTTCAGTAGAAATGCAAGCATCTGGTTTTGTTTCTCCATTGTCCAAGATACTTGGAATGGACATACGAAGCCATTTTCCATGAGCAAGACTACAGATGTGACTCTGTAATGGCATAATTACAGTATAGCTACATATATAGTTCAAGCTAATGGGAAACACGGATGCAGCTATTTTCAGTGTCTAGCAGTTAATGACAGACTATGAAGACCATAACCAAACTCCTTACTAAGAGAAAATAATCACAGTGCTGGGTCCAGGACTGAGCATTTAAGTGTTAGAAATGAAGACTACCATAAACTTCCAACAGGAGAACTACTTCAATTTAGAATTTGCTATAATCAAGAACTCATTTCGGTTGTATCTTGATCCTCAGTCACAGTTTGGGGATGCAGAAAGATGCCAGTATTTCCTGACAGGGAGCATACCCAGCCCATAGACTTCCAGAGACATGTCACATGGCTGTTCATCACTGGATTAGCATTATTTTGCATTTCAAATATACTGTTTCAGCAAGGATCTTATTTTTAAAGCACCAGGTATGTCTGTTAGTGGGGAAAAGGCTAACACTGCCTAGATCATCTAAGCAAGTCACTACGTCACTTCATGAGACGGAAACCAGTACAAAACATTTCATAAGCAAGGTCTACAGTGGCTTAAAGTAAGTATTTCAGAGGACTTACATATCTGAATCAGAGTGGGCAACATATACATTGATTTCTCAAAAAAAACGGCACACGTTTATTGACTTGACAGGTCACGGAAAGCATGGTAAACAACTCTGTAGCATTTGGTTTCCATCTTTTACAGGGCAATTAGCTTTAAGTCACCACCCTCATTCCAAAACTAAAATTTCCATAGTTTAGTTTTTTTACCTTATTGCCACAATTCAATGAATGCAATTTTTAATTTGAATTAATTCAATGGTAAAAGTGTAGTGTACCAATAAAGTACTTGCAAACTGAGACAAGTAAACTAAGAACTGTTACTGTTAAGTTCCTGCACCTGACTTCAGCCATTGTCATGCTCACATGAGGCTGCTGTCTTACCTGAAACCACAGGAGTTGCATGGCTTGAACAAGTTCCTCCAGTTTCTCAACAGCAATGACTTCTACCATGACAAACATGCTTGGCAAGTCAGACACAGCCCCCCCTTTTCCCAGGCTATATCAAAGTCTTACCCTTAATTTTATCCTGCACAAGTCAGGATTAATTTCCACTTCCAGAAGTATTTGTTCTAGAGACAAATGCTCTTCTCACTTAGCTTCTGATACAGAAACGATCTGAGCTGTTATTAACAGAAAAGACTCCCAAACATGAAGTATAGCCCTCACCCCTGGAAGCTCCAGCTATGCAAAGGTCAGACTGGAATGTAAAAAACTCTTCCTTATGCCCAAAAAACAAGTTTTCCTCTTCTCTGGAACATACAGAAAGAACACAATCCTGAAACATCTAAATATAATTATTAGATAATAGATACAAAGATGTTAAATACGTACTTAACTAAAAGCCATTATCAATTCTATTAAGGCTTCTTCCCCTTCCCAGACTTCATTCCACCACATAGTTGACATTTTCAGGTAAGTAAAATTAAAATACTAGGAAAGTATTATTTGACTCATTAAATAGTAACACCCTGAAAATATCTATTAAGCACTCCCTGAATACAAAAACTTAACGTAACTATCTAGTTCCCCCAAGATGCGAACAGCTTGCCACTGTTCTTCAAGGCCAAGCAAAGTTCTCTCAACCTGCACATTTTATGTTATATTAAACCACCAACAATTATTTCTCGAATAGAGATCTATTTCTTAAATTAAGATTACAAACTCACTTAGAGTGTATGTAGCTCTGACCTGCAAACACCGAGAATCTAAGTCTAAAATGCTCCATTACACAGAAAAAAATTTTTAGAAGCCAGTTTTCTAACGCAGCAAAAGGAAGACACTCTACAGAAAAGAAAGACCTTCTATGATTAATATTTATGGCAATTTTTTCCCTGCTTTTTGTCAAAAAGCCACACCACAAAATTTATTTTATATTTTTATTGTATGCCAAAGTTCATTAAAGATGGGGTTTTGCTTGTATACAAGTCACTCAAAAATTGCGTCTAGCCAGAGATTCATTAGCAATCTGACTTATTTCAAAGCATTGGTTTGTTCAATCAGGCCACAAAAATAATATCATGTGTACAAGCAGTAACTAAAGAGCTGCAGGTTCAAGGAGATTCCGAGTATCACAGATCTTGAGATCTCACCAGGAAACAGAAATAAAATCAAAGCAGTCGCATTACAAAACAGCAGCTCCATGTAGCTTTTTCAAGTTTTAACTTTATTCAGAAAGTGACACTTGGTTCAGTTTGCCTCATTCTTTGAAGCTTCATCGAAGTTTTCAACAAGATCTAGAAAAACAAGAATGTTGAAATTAAAGTTTGACCCCCTCCGACTTTGCCAAACGTTTTGTCATTGTTTTTTTTTTTTTCTTCAAAGTTCTACTTCATATCAGGTGCCCATAACATAAAAAAAACTTTAATCTTATAAAATACAAACCAAATAACTTTTAAGAGTTCTATGGTTCATTCTTCTTGCTCAAGCAAGTTTTAGGTGGTTCATTATAAAGCACAATTCTAAGAGAATTTAACTTCACTACACCCACAACTGGAAAAAGTGATACTGAGAAGGCAGTTTCTTCCCACCCTTCTTACTCAATATTAAATAATTATCTTAGCCATAGCTATTACTTCTACACAGGACAAAAATGCTATCTCAAACCAACAATCCACCTAAATCTCTCACAGTGTCTGAAAACAACAAAACAACCTGCTCACAGAAATTCTGTGACAGCGACTGACTAGTCAATACTTTCATAATCCTTGGCACAATCTTATGCTACACGTTATCTCTCCACAAAATTCACCTCCTTTTTCTCCACTGCATGCTCGTTCTTACCTGGAACTTCATCGTCATCGTCTTCACCAGTAGCAAGTGGTGCTTTTCCATCCACAGCTGCAAGAGCAAATAGTTCAAGAGCATCAGTCAAGCTCACCATAGGCATCTTTTTTCATTGTTTTGCTTTGTGTTTGTTGAAAACATTACTGGTCTGAGATAAACTGCAATGCTTTATCCAGTTCCCCCACTGAAAAAAAAAAATCACTAACCGAGGAGGTTCACATTCCCTTTGTTACTTATAATGCTCAAACAGCCCAGTGCCGAAATGAGAATATGCATGGCAAACCAGTTTACTGGTCACCATCTTGGATCTAGGTATACCGAGTCCCTTGCATAGTAATCATTTTCAGCTACAAGTGCAGAGACTGATTTTACTAATTTTCCTTAAATGCAGCTTGGTTTATTGACTCCTCAGTGTTTTGAGGTTTACATATTTTACATCAGCAAGGTTTAAGGAAAAGAAAGGATCTTATGATCCTAGGCCTTCAGTGAAAACTTAGGTGTAATTGTGAAGCTGCAGGCAGACACACATGACTAGAGGCACTTAAAGATATTACTGTCCCCTGGCAAATTCAGAGGAATATGGAACTGGATGCAATTTCACACTTAGGTGGCTGAGGTCACCATATGTTCCAGTCCACATCTCTGCTGACTCAGTAATTTCTCAACCATTCCCACTGTCTTTGCCAGAGCTAGTGATTTAACTAGGTCTAGCATCTGTCAAACCGCAGCAATATAATGCTAGGAATAGATATCTCAGGTCCCTGGGTGCCTGTGCCACTACTTTCACTGCTGTTCTTACCTGTATTACCAAGGGTACACTGTCTCGTAGCCTCTAACACCTCAGGCTTATCGTAACTAAAATTCTCAGTTTTCAAGAAAAGCATGAAGAAAGAGATGGGTTCATACTAGACCTTCACCCTGATTTATAAGGGAACCAAAACAGATGAATGCATAAACTTTGCTTTGAAAGGGCTTGAGACAAGGTCACTGCTAAACTTCCTCTTGTTTTTTCACAGCAGAAAGCTGTTACAGCTTAAGTGCATCTTAGGGTCAAATACAATATTTTAAAAGCAAATAAATTTCCTCCCAAATTGTCTTCATTCTCTCTCATCCCCAAGATCAGACTAAGTTTACTTTAGCACCTGCAAATGCAAACATCACAGACATTTCACTCTTCAACATCAGGCTTCCAAATGTAGCAGACAATGCTGAATGGAAATTTTTATGCAACTACTCTGGCATCCATCCAAAGTGGAATGGAATAGCCATTCAGTAGGTCAGACAAAGCAAGCACTTTAAAACAAGCTTCTCCAATATTAAAACTGCACAATTTAGCTGATCTAGAATATACCCACCTTGTTAGGAGAAGAGACATCTTAGGGGATCATTTAAAATCCTTCAAGGTTTTTTTTTTTCTTTCAAGCCCTACTACTACCACAAGGAAGCCACACAAGTGACACGAGGAAAGAAGGACCTGAGCTCCATGGGGAAAGAAGCAATTTACTCCATCTCCTGAAGACTACCTCTAGCAAAATTTTTTCAGTGCAACGTTGATGTGAGGGAAGTATCATCAACTTTAGGAATGGAAATAGAGGCTGTCTTGTTGACAGCAAAGCACAGGAAGAAAAAAAAAATCTAACAATCAAGGTTAGAACTACGAGAAACTGGACACAATTAGACGCTTCTCCCATTTTCTCCGCATTTGGGATGTTCCATACCTTGGAAGGAATGAGCTTAAGATACTTCAGAGAAGTAGGAAGACTGTACATGCAGGACACAAGGAATGTTCCCACTCTCAACAAGCCTCTCTTTCATTCCCAATTCTCACCCTGTAGCAGCAGCACCTTTTCCAAACACCACACTCTAAGTCCCTCCTCTACTTTTCTCACAGAGTTTTAGGAAGAACAAGCATTCATGGTTTTTTAGCAATTTAATGATGGAATAGGAAGTTGATGTTATCTAGTTTAATGCTCATGCCAGTCCTGTTCTCTCTGCTGTTCTACACACAGAAATTGTAGCATACTTCCTTACAAATACTGTACAATTCCCTCCTTGGTATCAAAAAGCTCATGCAAGAAACACCTTCACTACACCCGTGAGGCAGCAAACCACTTGCAAGATGTCTGTGCTCAAGCCTCCTTCCCTATTACTTATGCTTCCATTCAAAGTGTCAAAACAGACATACTCAAAAGTCTACCCTTTTTTAAAGCTTAACTCTTCCAGAGCACCTCATCTACCTAACTTTAATGAACAAGGTATGTCAAAAATACAGGAGCCACACCAATAAGTAAACTACCATGAAATCAAGCCTGGCTACAGCCTTCCAGTCCTACCACTGCTGCAAGATAGGCTGACAGGCACCTCTGTTTTATTCAGTGTTACTTGTCGTCAGATTTGAGCTATAAATAAGATCCAAGAGTTCAACTTTTTTATAAGCATTTTATATGCTTTAATATGCTTACTGACAGCACAAGTACACTGAATTTCACTGCTGCTATACAATTAAGCCTCATGTCAGCTGCCAGCATGAAATGCATTCAAGTTTCAACTTACGTTGCTTGGGTAGAGCTTCTGCCAATCTCCTCAGGCTGGTCAGACTGTCAGCTCCGAGCTGATTTAAGATGCTAGGAAGCATTTCTGTCAGCTGCTTTGTCTCAGCATGGCCAGTGATAGTGAAAGTGTTAGCAGCCAGAGATGCCTGAACTTTAGGGTTATTGAAGTGAATGACTGTTCCTTGGTTGGTAAACATGTTTACCTGCAAGAAAAAAAAAATCAGTACTTGAAGCAGTTTAGCAAAATTTTTCAATTTAACAGGAAACTGAAGTTCTTATATTTCAATAAAGACCTACCGATAATTTACAGAAAAGTTTAGGATGTTACTTACTAGGAAAGTGATTTTGATACATTTTATATTTCTTCAATATAGAAATAAAGTATTTTTGCTTTGAAGCAATTACCTCTTCAATTCCAGAAATATTGTTGACTCCCAGTTTCTTCAAAGAAAACTGAAGTTTCTTGTCATCTGCTGTAGCTGTTCTGTGGACAACCTTCTTCTTTCTGCGGGCAGTACCCTTTGCAAAACAGAAAAGTTACAAATTAATACTTAAGTCGTTCTTCACAAACTCTAATCCTCAGGGCCATACAACTACTCCGCAGCCATCCATAAATCAACTTCACATACAAATTTCTACTTCTGTGTCACAATGCACGCAACCCCACCCCTCCAGCTGTTCTGCAGCAGTCTCTCGCTTGCTATAAGGCAAGCTTTCCATGTCAGTGAAAAGTGTGAGGTTTTCAGAAGCAATTCACCAGAGAACGTTTATTCCACAATTCTTATAAGGATTCTGCAGCATCTTAAAAAACAAAAATTGCAAGTTTATCCTTATTCTGTTATCATAGGCATAAAATGGAGGAGTGAGCAGTTTTAGGTAATTTCTGAAGCTTATTAATTTTTCCTTAGATCATCTTTCTTAAATTGTAGACAAATTTTTATAATAGAGGCCACAGAGTTATCAACACATCATTAACAAATGAATATGAGAAAACTCAAAATACTCTATTTTTATTCCAAACAGACATCTCCCATCTGAGGGACTTACACACACATATTTGAAAAACACTTATCTTCCCAAAATATTTTATAAATTTTTTTAAAAATACTTCTACATATTATTCCAGACCACCTCTGTTTAGAAAGCAAAACAAAGGTTAAACTCCCCTATAAACACAGAGCTCTAGATTTCTCCAGGGAAATAACTGTCCCATATTGTAAGACACCTATACCTACGCAAAAGCAAAAAGTGTCATTCGATACTTCCTTGCACAATCATAGGGCTTCAGTGAAATATGACACAAAACGTTAACGAACAGGTGAAACTAAGCTCCTTTTTAACACACTATAACCACTAAAGTCCTCCTGCTCCAGTTGCCCATCTGCGACATTCCAGCAATAAGAGAATGTATTATTGCCTGGCTGTATAAATGGCTGCAACAGTTAACTGGTAGAAGTTACAAAACTGGCTGGACACTAACACCTCTAACCTAATAATCCAGCTACAAACAATGAGTAACGTTAATGACAAATTCACATGAAATGAACTCTTGGAAGACTACAGCTCAAAAGTTTCCTTGTGCATCTAGAAAGCTTGATATTCATTCCCTGCTAGTGTCAGTTTAGTGCACACAGCAATTTGAAAAGTACTAAAACAATAGAAATGGCTTTATTTTAGTACTGTGACTACCCAGGAATTGAGCTAAAGTATACATTAAGTCTCTCTGGACAAAAGACCTCTCAAATTTCAAAACATGATGCACTGAAGCAAAGGCTCTGTAGGAAAACATACCTCCTTTTTACCTGTATTAAACACAGATATCCAACTTCAGACAATCTGAGTTTAATTGAAATGAACAGCTGCTGCTTTCATCTCCACAGATTTAAACTTCTAAACATTAAAGCTTTTTACTAAGCAAATTCTATCCTGATCATGCTGAGACATGCTGTTCACACCCCTCTACATTAAAAACGAGTGGGTACGGCAGGGCACCAATGGAATAATACACACTCATCTGCCACTCCTCTGAAAAGGTTTGGGAAGAGCCATGACATTTAGTTGTTGCAACATTCTACACAAAGATCACAAATTTCGCATAACAAAGTAGCCCTCCACCTAAACATCATATTTATTTGTAAGATCTGCAGCCTTGCAACATCATTAAAATCTTCCAGCAGAGGTAACGTGCAACCTTTTCTCCCAAAAAGTGACTCTGCCTCCTTTGCCTCCTCCACACCCATCTCAACTTATATGCTGACAATGCCATGAAGAACAATTTTCAGATAGAAAACAAATAAAAGAAATCAAGTTCAGGCATTCAAAGTATTTCACAGGCCAATTTAAAACTGAAGGACAGCATCACCAGCATATTCTAAGCTTTGCTAAATGTCTCTAAAAGACCTATATTGACCAGAGCTATAATCTGAATGCCTGCTCTTACATGACAAATGCTAAAAATCTCTATAGTCAATACACACATGCTTATAATATGCATGATACCATCAATATAATACACCAATTTTCTGCTTAACCTATACAAAGAATACACAAAATCATTACTACATTAACACTGATTTAAGGCTGCCTAAATCTCCAGCTAAAGGCAAAAAAAAATTCAACACAGGAATAAAAGCTCTGGGGAAACTCTGTCAGCAACAGTTCTGTTGAATAGTTTGTATTCTAAAATATTGTGTGTACATTTCCTCAGCTATAAAAAAATTACTAACAAATTCCTGTCTTAAAAATGACACTGTATTTAAATTGTTTACTAGCATATGACTATATTTAACATACTTTTTTACCTGCATATTACAAGTAATCACACAGATACATATATTCAGATATCAAAATAAAAAGGTCTTCTGAGCATGTTACTCTACAATTACAAGAGTACGACAAGTAGAGAACTCCCAACTTTGTCCTAAAATGCAAACAAACAGCCATGGGCACCTTACTTGTGATTACAGTTTGAAACATAAACCTCTATAATCTGTTATGAAAACTATACCCAAGCTCACTTGCTGTAAGGTCTACTCACTCCAAATCCTACACGCCTTCTCAAACAGCCCATACAAGAATATACGCCACAAGTCTGCCGGAATATAACAAACTTAAACAGAAAACGCTGGAAGTTCAGCTACTACGTACTGCTCTGACAGAACTAACTCTAGAGATCCCTGCATTAGCACGGCTTCCCCCGAGGCCAGTCAATCCAAGCCGAGAGCACTTGGGGCCGCTCCCCTCCCGTTTTCAGGACACCTCGTCCTAGGCCTGCCGTGCACGCAGGGAGACGCAGTCCCAAGGGCCAGGTGGGGAGGCCGCTCCTACCTTGCCACCGATGCGCACTTGGGCCTGCAGCTTGGCGAGCTTTTCTTGGTTCATGATTGTTTCTTTCATCTGCGGAAGCAACAAGAGCGCCCGTGGGAGGCGGGTCA